CAGTACATTTCCCCCTTTTTTATCTGCACTTCAACTTCATAGCCATTTTTATCTTGGCTTTACTCTTTAATACCAAGCATGAGTGATCATATAATACATAGCTACCAATCATACATCATCATTAATCAGGAAAAAGAGCCTTAAAACAATCCAAAGATAGTTGCTTTAAGTAACATAAACTAATTTTTTTTCTTTCTCTCCTCCTCAAGGACAGATTATTTCTTCTACAACACAGAAATTCAGCCTTAGACTGCCCAAGTTCAGTACTTTAAATTTATGCTTCTTAGAATTCAAATACCAGCTAAACACAAGTTTCATCCTTCAGAGCTTATATAATTGTAGTGATCTCACCCTCTAAACACACAGTATGATTAAAATTACCTTTAGTTCCACCTCAGTTGTCAAGATGCTTTGGCAGAGCCCATCCTGTGTGCCCCCAGCAGGCAGCTCTCCCCAGCCCACCCAGGGACACTGCACTCCCAGTGCCTGTCAAGCAGCCCTCACCCCAGCTGTGGAAGGACACACACAGAGACTGTTGTCTAATCGAACAGGTCTCAAAGCCAAACATCACCTGCATGCTCAGCTGGTAACTCACCACTGGCTCCCCATCAGATGATGCTGTGGACTGGAAATGTGGAAGCAACAGCAACAGGAATGCGAGTAAGTCCTGTTCCTGCACGTTTCAACATAACCCCGTTCAACAGTCCAAACAAAGGCTTGTACTTATTCAGCCTACAAATAACTTTAATCACCATGTTTTGTCTAAAACTGGGGTATCAATTCCTCTCTCTGGTAATTAATGTTACTGCTGCTTTTCAGACAGGAGTGATATGAATTAGAGCTTTAAGTCAAAAGCACAGCTAGCAGTTGCAATTGTGCAGACCTAACCACGTATCAAAATTTCTGTTCCTGTTCCAATATCACATTATAAAAAGTAAACTTTCATTTTATATATGGACAATATATAAAACACAAATCCAAATTGTTTCAAAAACACACTAAAAAATACTATTAAAAATACCCTTGAGGGGAGTGCAAAAGGCTCACATACAGAAGCTTAAAGCTCCTAAATACAAGATTGGTACAATGTTAACTCTTCCCCACAAAACCACAGATACCACCACCAAAAACCCCAAATAAAGCTTTCTCATCCCTCTGCCTAGACAAAGAGGTACCCATGACAAAAGTAATATTTCCCATTTCTTGGTACCCTTCTCTCTAACACAGGCAGTACAAGTCCCAGCAACAGAAAAATATTTTTGCCAACATGTATGATCTGTACTTCTAAGGAATTCTTTACTAAGAGGGTGGGGAGGTGCTGAAAGAGGTTGCCCAGAGAACTTGTGGATGCCCCATCCTGAAAGCATGGCTTTGAGCAACCTGGTCTAGTGAAACGTGTTCCTGCTCACAGTAGGGGGGTTGGAACTAGATGTGCTTTAAGGTTCCTTCCAACCAAAACCATTCATTCTATGATTCTGTGTTAAAAAAAAACCAAAGTAAGTCTGTATGAACTTTAAATTACAGGTAGACTAAAGGAGCATACAATCCTTTTGTAGACATAAAAGTTTCCCTTTATTAAGAGCAAAATATTTAATACAACAATACAAGCATATCCAAAACATTAAGCACATTTTCACAATGATTCAGGTTGAAAACTCAGACCTTCCCAAACCCAATTATTTTTGCATAGCTTGGAAAATTTTGTTCAGCAGGTGTTCTCATCTTCCCAACTGATATTACCTGAAACATATTTGGGAAAAAAAATTTAAAAAATTATGTCTAAAATACATACAAGCATGGCCTGAATTATTTGGATACAACCTTACTTCAGATGTTCAAGGCCAATCTAGGAAATCATGACTTTGATCATCAGAAAATAAATACAAATTTTTTAACATTTCAAAAAGAAGAATGTACATATTTACCAAACAACTGTATTTTTTTTCTAGTATTTGTGCAACATAAAGGGAAAAAAAGGAAAATGTAACAGAACCTCCATTACAAACCTTCTGGAACTTACTACCAAAGTTTCCTTGAGCTATCTCATGTCAAGGATTGTTCACATGAATTGTGTTTCTCAGCTGTAAAAGTAGGGCACATTTTGTGGATCACAGAGATTTGGCCCATATAAAAATTAGGATTTAAAAAACACTCCTCTCGAACAGTTAAAAATAACTGCTGGTTTGGCAGCCCCCAAAAAGGTGATTAAGAAAAAGTAATATTTCAAAGACCCCACACATTAAATTTATGACAAAAATTCAGCAGAATGGTGCTCAGCAGAAATTTCAGGGGATCCAGAAATCAAAAAGACTAAATGATTTTTTAATAAGCAAAACTGACATCACAGGTTCAAACCATGTCTCAGCTACATGCCTAGATATACCACAGGCAGACAAGGCACTCAATCAAAACCATCAGGAAAGGTAATCAAATGAATTTGTTTATGTGAGTGAGAAGGACCAGAAAGCATGAAACAGACATTTCTACTCAGTACTTTCATCTAACTGACATGCTTGAAGAAATTTCTGATTTTCTCAACACTATTTCCAAGAAACAGGCCAATTTAATGCAATCTGCTATACATTATTAGGATTCACCCAGGTGACACAAGAGGAAAACCCAAACTTAATTAGATCATTTCAGATCAGTTGCTATGAAATCCATGGGTTTTGTTATTTGGCACATTTAAACCTATTATCCAGTTAATCAATTAGAGAAGAGGATAACGTGAAATAGTTCTTAAGCATGCTTCAAAGATACTTAAATCTTCTTATATTTTTTCTTTTAATTGTAACACCTTCTGTGATCAAAAGCAGCATGTTTAAAGCCTTCCATCAATTCTAGAACAATCTAAACCAATAGTTTCAAAATCCTTCCTACTGAAAATACATTATTACTAACTTCTAACCTCAAAGACACATCCCTTTGTTCTTCCAAGGTTAAGGCATGGCATCTCCTTGCACAACTTTCCTCTAAATGCTCAGTACCAGCCACACAGAAATTCCATCTAGTTTTAAACAACTCTTTGCCAAATAAAAAACGTTAAGGGTCATGTAATGACAGGTAAGTATATGTAATATTTACATGGAAAACAAATAACAGAATACTTCAATCTTGCAGAAAAAGCTGTAATACACAGCCAGTGGGAACAGACCACACAGACTAGAAACAGGAACTATTTTAAACACAATTTTGAAAAGGTTTTGAAGAATTACTTTTAGCCACTAACAGATTTTAAATTAAGACTAGTTTATTTTTTCTGTCTAGTTCAATATTTCTCTATAAGATTTACAAGATGTCACACCTAGTCTGCAAAGCAAGTTCTTTGGGTTTTTTTTGCTATACACACGGACACAGCCAAAGGTAAGCACTAGTGCCTTCTGACAGAAATACGTGAGAACCAGACAGATTCCTGGCTGGTTTCAGCGTTTGCAGCTATTCCATGGACTCAGAAATGTTAATGATGTCAATCAAAAAGCCTAGAAAACAGTTCAAGAAGTCACATGTAAAGTCCTTATGTTAAAAACATTCAACTGACACATTCCTGATTACAAGCAAGACCCTCACCCTGCTGATTACAAAATAGCAAACCACAAAACAATTCCTGATTTATTTTTTTTTCATGGAAAACTAATACATAACTAGTTTTTAATAGATGAGGAATACAATGCAGAAGAGACTGTACTGCTATTGAAGGAAAGACTTCATGTGAAGTCATTGTGAGGTCATGTGAAACTTATCATCAGTGGACCCACAACAAGACAACCTATGACTCCCTGTCTCAAGGCTTTACAGAGCACCCTCTTCAGCTTCCTGGACCTGTGGTCTACAGTGCAGCAAGCCAAGTTCACTCAAGCATTCTCTTCAGAACTTCCTATATTCCTATATATTCTATTCCTATATATTCTTTACTTCAGATATACATATATATATATTTCTATATATTTTCTTTCACCCAAAATTTGAGCTCCATGGGAGTTTAAGCTACAATGATCCAGAATTCAACATGAAAGTTAGATATGACTAATTCAAATTCCTCCTTGTGAACAGAAATGTTTCAAATTTGCTTTCATGGGGGATATTTCTTCACACTGACCTGAATGTCATCTTGGATGGGCAGGGGAAAGCTAGCAGTAAAACTCCTCATAGATTTCCTGTATTTCCTTTCTAGAGTAAAAAGTCCTCCCTGAGGATGAGTTTTTAGGTTTGAATTATTCATGGGAACTAAAAAACAAAAAGCTTTTAAGTACAGTTGTTTCACATCATCATATGATTAGAGATCTTCTAAGGTCATCTTAGAAAAAATTCAAAACACAGTGTAAAAGAAACAATTGTGAAGAATGTGAGTATGATGAAGACCCTGGAGAACTATTACAAGTCAGGCTTGGTCCTCAGGAACCCCAGTTCCTTTGGTTTTGAGACAGCAACCATCACATGGGGCTCAGCCACCTCCCAGTGACCTATATGAAGTCTTGAGGCAAGAACTCAAAAACAACTGAATTCAAAAAGAGTAAAATGTAGTACAGAGCAGCCCAACTGATACAACTTTCATCACACTGAACTAAAAAAAAAAAAGCCAAAACAAAACACAACCAACAGACCTATTTTGCAAAATGCATCAACATATGAATCAGTACCTGCCACACCACTTACTGGAGCCTCCACCTCTCTTTACAAAGAGTCCTGTTCCACCCTCCACAACAGCATACCTGTCTTCAATTACAGGGAACTATGTGCTTCCTTTTATTGACTGAAGGACACAAAGTCTGAAGAATTATCTTATTATTTCTATTAATAAATTAAAACCATGGCATTGCCCTTTGGTATCAATGCTCTCTTCAGAGGAAATTCACAACTTCTAGAGTTTCTGTTTTACCTAGATGATTAATGAAAAGAACTTGCTGGCTGTTATGGCTTACTCTAACTTAAAAAAAAATGCATGCCTCTTGAATAAGTCAAATAACTTGGGAACAATAAAGGAAACAAGATTAATCAAATACCTTCTCAAATGCTTCTACATCCAGTTTCTATGCTGCCTTCAGAGACAAAGGTGAGACATGCTGGCTAATTTCCCAGTGTTATGACCTGAGAAGAATACAAATCTAAATTTCCTAAAATAAAAATATCACTGCATGGCTGTTAAGAAATAATAAACTTTTTTTTAGAAGTGACAAGTTAGCAAAAGTTGCTGACATTCAAGTACAAGAGAGAAACACAATTATATTTCAAAGGTTATCAAAAAAGCATTTGCTTTTTCAGCTTCCACTCTATAAAACTCATTCAGGTTTTACTGGATGCTGTAGTTTACCTAATTTCTCCATGCATCCAGCAGCCTGGGCTGTGTGATGATCCTCCCTTGATACAGAAGCTTTGGACAGCATTCTAGAAACGTGTCCAGCATAACAGTAATAACAGCATAGGAAACCCTAATACACCAGGTGTGGCTTTGTGAGCCACCCAGGAAGTGCTCTAATAACTACTGCAGTCTTCCTGTAAGCTTTTACCAGTAAGGGTTTCTTGAACTAGATTTGTACTGAAAAGCATCAGGTAGGTATAGGACAGAAGACTTATTTTTTGCCTGACCTGCTCTTCTATTGTAGCAGTGGAATAAAAGATAGGCTTTGATTGTAGTGAATGATTTTCATCTTCTTTGATATTTGGCTTCTTCCTTTCTCTAGGTATCCCTTAACTTATCTTTTCTCCCAGCCTCAAAATGCCTTATTAAAAAAAAAGAGAAAAGTTTCTATCTAGAAAGAAACTCTCATTTAGAGTTAAAACTGCCATCTAAAACACTCCTTGCAATGCTTTGGACTGCTTTTAGTTTTGGGGAACACAAGAGGCCCAGAGCTACCCATTCTGCCAGTGGAGCTGTGCTAATCCTGCCCTGTGCTAAGCCTCTGAGCAAGGCTCTGCCTGGAAGGTCAATCACATCTGCTCAGCCTCCCCTGTCCAGCATGTGCCCAGCTCAGCAGCCACTGCTCCAGATCATGCTTTCCCATGTGGCTGCTTCTGCCTACACCACCCTGCTCAACACCAGCACTCATGATTTTGGCTGTCTGGTAGTTAGTCCCCTTGTCGAGCCCTTCTACTCTAAACTGCCTCCTCCTTACACATTAAGCTGCACTTAAAATTATCCTCAAAAGTAGATCTTCATCTCAAAGCAACAGTCTTCTCCCCACTTCCGTTTTTTCAAAACAGGAAGACTGACTGCTACTTTGGTCCAGGAATGTAGTAAATCCACATGCATTTAAGGAGGTAAAAGGCATAGGGCTTTCTTTGTGAGGGTGCTCTTGGCAGGGTGACAAGGGGCTTTGCTGGCCCAGAACAAGCTCAGCATGTTATCATCTGGTGCAAGAACCACTATGAAAAGTCAAAGGGGTCTCCAGCAGAGCAGCAACTCGCAATAGCCTGCAACAACACAAAGTATTCCTTCCTGCTGATTCGCATAGAGAGCCAGCACGTTCTACTGCAGGGCTTCCCAGGCAGTGCTGGGCACACATGAGCAAAGCTTGCCATGACAGCAATGTTCCCTGCAGCAAATGTGTCCTCCACATCACTCTCCAAACCTCAGCCTGATGAGCAGGGTTAACTGTAGGCTGACAGCTTTCAAGTAATTATAGCCATTCCCAATCCAGTGCTAACTGGTATGAAACTGATCATTCTCCAAAAGGAAAGGCAGAAAACAAAGAAGAAAACACAGATTTTGATTAAACTCTCTTCCCAATCTTCAATTTCTGCTTCTACTACATATTCCGCCCTGCATGTCTCCACTACCCTTTTGACTAGACAACAAGCCTGGCTGATAAGTAAAGCAGTAAGGCTGATAAGTAAATCTCTTTCATCCTCAGAAAACCACACTGATGCAGCCAGTTTTACTTGCTCTATTGTACAAACTCCATTTGCAATCTGTCTTGGTATAGGCAGTCGACAAAAAGCATGTGAAGCTGCATGCTCATCTGACGCCATGCAAATCCTTCCCATTGCCAGCAAGTTGAAACACAAAAGGCAGGATATCCTGCAAGTAGTGTAACATAAAAAAAAAAAAAAAAAAAAAAAAAAAAGCTTGTGTCCTGGAAATAACTTACACAGGGATTCTTTAGGGACAGAAGCTGATCCTGAAAAAATAAGTCTGTTCCAGAGGGAGACACGTTGTGAAGCCATCAACAAATATCAGCACATGAAGCACCACCAAAGATGCAGATTGCACCAGACTGATCCAGGCAGATGAATGATGGGCAAGACACCATGCAACCCAGGAAGCCAATCCAGGTGACATGCTAACAACATCCACTGGAGCATTCCTTATGTTCTACACTCTACTGAACTCCAAATGAATGCTATCACATGCATCTGGGTCAAAATTTGACTGCCATTACATTCAACAGTGCAAAGAGGTGATATCAGCTATCACTGAACCGAGGTCTGCATCCCATTACTTGCTATAGCCTCCAGCACCCAAGCTCCACACCATGCCATTCCTGTCCCAGCTAGGTGGAAGCCCTTGGAAGACAGCCTGGTACCTGAAAAAGAGGAAATGCTCCTCAGCTAAGGGAAGACTTTTAAAAAGCCTTCATTCTCCTCCTACATTTTCTTCTTGCTAGTGTTGAAGCAGATGCAAAGACCTTGACAGGAGTATAATAATAGAAAAGGCACAATAGTTTTCCTTTACTTCCCTAGGTATTAGTACAAGCTTATAGCTCATGTTAGAAATACAGCATAGTCCAAACACTTGCAGGAGATGCTTGAGGGAAGTGGTTTGTCAGAAAAATGGAAAAGAAAACCATCCTTGTTTTTCAATGGTAGTAACTTGTGCTAAAACACAAGCTTCAAAAATAAACAGCACCCTCACCAAGCAGAAAACATTGTTCAGATGCTTGCTAATATTACTAGGCTAATTTCTCACAACATAAAATTGTTTTTTTCTGAAAATATGGCTATTACTTCACATTCAACTCAGTTCTCCTCTGTCTTTACACGTGTGACAGTTACACAGCTTTTCCTTACACAAAGGCTAGAAACAAAATGAAATTAAACAGTTGGGAAGAAAGTCCTCACACAGACTAGAGGTTACTGGTTAGAGTTTTGTAGGTTTGCTTGCTTATGAAATGTTCCTCACAAAATAGGGCCATGAATTTAAAATTACGCAGCTGATCAGACTGAACAAAACAAAGCTACAGCAGCCTCACACAGAGCTGCATCTTGCCAATTAAAATTTCTCCCTTAAGTATGTATAGTGGAGGAAGTAATAGCTCCTTTTGAGAAGGCTCCTGTCTTACCTGGATCCCCTAAAAATTACTTGGACATTTCCAACAGGATGACCAATGGAAATGAGAGGCTGCTAGAGAGAATATGCTGAGTCCTAGAAAAACATAAGCCAATTAGCTTTCATTAATTACCACTAACCACACCTTAGCACACCTTCAGATGTCAGTCCAAAATCTTTACCTGTCTTGGGGTGAAATACTTAGCCCAAATTGCAAGGCCTCGTGGTCTTACACCCACAGCAGGCACACCCAGGGTCAGTGCCTGGACATGTACAGGGATCAGGCAGCATCTTATGTTTGATGAGGAAAACATGGCCTCAAAGTCCTGCCCAGGCATGGTAGGAAAGGCAGCCCCCGATGCTAACCTGCTTTACACAAAAGCCGTCAAAACAGCCTTTTTATTCTACTACAATCTTCAAGTGTTTCCTCTTGCTGGGGTCCCTTTGGTCCTCTCAGCTCGTCAGATTTTCCCACCTTGGCACCACCCTTCAGCTTTCACGTGTTTCTTAAGAAGGAGCTCACCTCAAAATACTCTTCCTCTTCCCGGCAGTTTCCCGTTCCACTGCTTCCACCTCCTCCCTTGGGCTAAAGCAGCAGAGTCACTCAGTAAACACGCCAGTGACATGAAGTGCCTTTTGTCTGCCCTCTTCTCTCCCAAAGGGATTTGTAAAGAGACCAGGATTAATACTGAAAACAACTCATCTCAAACAGCTGGTTTGGTTTTTTTTAAACCATATAAATTTCCACTTCCATCCATGTACTCAAGCAGTCAGTACTTATTGCTCACTCAAAATCCAAAGCTTTTATTAAATAAAAACAAAAAAATGAAAAATCAGGAAATATTATATATGCGCTTTCTAAAGATATCAGTAACTGATCCCAGACTGTAACAGAACCTGCAAAGGACAATTAAAAAAAAAAAAAATCTATGAATCAACTTGTAACCCTTGCTGGGCTGACTACTACATGATCAGACAGAACTCTGTGGCAACAGAAACAAAGAAGCTAAACTGCAACACTAGCTAAACTAAACTATTTTTAGTTCCAAGTTAAAAGAAATCTGATGTAATATTTCACAAAAATACACACATGTATGCAAAACTGGAAAAAGCTGCAAGGATGTAAACTGAAAGAGAATAATCTGTAAGAAATAATGTGTTGACCATATACTATGTTTGTCGTTGCTGCTTTGGTATTGAATATATATCATTTAGCACATAACCCAGAAATACCCACAGCATCAGATGCCATATGATCAAAAGACTGCATGTTCACTGACAATAGGAAAGATTCCTACAGCCACAAGAAAAGCAGCTACTTAGACCACCAAACTGCAAAAAAACATGTTCTGTGGGTGTTGACCTTTTCAGCAAGACATGACTTGTACAGCATGATAAAAGGCTAAGAAACTTCATGGCTAAGATTCCTCTCTGGGGGTTAATAAGAAATAATCTTTTTCCTTTGAAAGTATGTAGAACTTTACAGCAAAACATAAAACAAGATCTAAATTTGTTTCAGATTACCATCAGAATATGACACAAAAGGTATTTCAAAAAATATCCTTCCCCTTAAGCCTAAAATTTGTTCTTGCATAAATGATCTAAAAAATACTAAGGTGCAAGACTTCTTCAAAAGCCTATAGTGCATGTCTGAGCATCCAAAGAGAAAAAATTTTAACAGAGGACACTCATGCAGTGAACCAAACACTATCCCAAGGTCCAAATAATCCAAGATTAAGTGTCTGGCAATGAGTAACTTCAGGTGTTCGAGAAGATGCAAGAGTACTTTAATGGGATGACAACCAAAGACAAGAGCATCCCACTATCTGCAAAACCACATGTATACAGAGGAAACA